GCAAGCCTCTGAGCGCACCCCCGCACGCGAAGCTTGTGTATCGGTGTCGAACTTCGGCATCAGGCCACCGTGACCCCTCGCAGAGCTTGACTCCCCCTCCACCTTCTCCTCCTCTTCCTCAGAATCCCCCTAACTGAGGTGAACACTGGCCGCAACGTCTGTCCAACCCCCTCCCCCTCACCCCTCCTTCCTCCTACTTCCTCCTCCTCCTCTTTCTGTCCTTCTTCCTCTGCTCTCCCTCATTACCCTTGCCCTCGCCTGGTGCTGAGCGGACCGCTCGGTAAGATTGATTCGCAACCAGTCAGCCCCGCCAACCTGCCGAGCCGCGCCGCGGCCGTGCCGACGACCCCCCCCCACAAAAAACCGGGTCGCGTGCCCGCCGGGGGAGGCACCGCAGGTGGGCGGGGGGGTGGTGAAGGCGTGCCTGGCTCGAGGTGCCTCCGCCTTTTCGCTCCGCTCGGGAGCGCTGTGGATGCCACGACAGTGGACACCCTAACGGTCCTATCCTTGAACTTACAAGGTGTTCATAATGCAGGAACATGTTCTAAACATTTTTGAAGCATTCTTATAGTACATATTTCAAACATGTTTAATCCATGTTTTAAGCATCAGGGAATTATTTGGCAACATGCTTCCTCTCCATTAATCGATGCCCCGCGCGTAACGCATCCATGCGACCGCGCATCAAAGGGACCGCGCCCTGGAATCCAGACCGCGGGGGCGCGGCCAAGGATTCGTTCGTCGCCCGCGATCCTCCTCGATCCCAGATTGCCAGGTGGAGGTGGTGACCCCCCTTGGCACCGCCCGAGGGGGCAGAGGGTGCGGAGGCCGGGGGCCTGGTCTTCGGCGCCGTTGCCGCCGCCTTTGAGGGGGCCGACGGCGAGGATGCGGCCTCCTGGAGGCTTCTCGCCGCCACGGCTGGATCCGCCTCGACTGACGTGCCAGGATGGACCCCAGGAGGGTCCGAGGGCGTCTCTTGCGAGGGATGGGACCTGGCGGGGGGAGCAACCGAATGTTGCTCTGTGTGAGGTGAAGACGGGGAGGACAAGGAGGCTGAGGCTGGGAAGGAGGAGGAGGAGGAGGAGGAGGAGGAGGAGAAGGATAAGAAGGAGGATGAGGAGGAGGAGGAGGGAGAAGAGGAGGAGGAGGAGGAGGAGGAGGAGGAGGAGGAGGAGGATTTTTTCCAACGCAGCGACACCCCAACCGCGTAGAAAACTACCATAAGACGCCCGCGTACGCGCGCGCACACACGTACACATATGCTGATTTACCCGATACAGGCAAACAGGCAGACAGGCAAAAGAGAGACAGGCAGACTCGATTGACAGACAAGCAAAGCGAAAACGGAGAGAGGAGGTGGGGATATATATATATATATATATATATATATAGAGAGAGAGAGAGAGAGAGAGAGAGAGAGAGAGAAGAACTAGAGAGAAAGAGAGAGAGAGAGAGAGAGAGAGAGAGAAAGAAAGAGAGAGAGAGAGAGAGAGAGAGAAAGAGAGAGAGAGAGAGATAAACAACAATCCAAAAGGGGAGTGACGAACACAAACAAAGGAGAGACCCAAACTTGGCGATTCCCCCCCGTGCCCCCCCCCCGGCGCCACGCAAAGCCGACGAAACCACTCAACGAGGGCGGAGCGGGCGGAACGCCTGGCCCGCGGGGCCCCGGCGGCCCCAGGCCGCAGCGCGCACGTGGCACCCAAGGTCCCCCCAATGGCTCTTTTGAAGGGGAACTGGGACACACAAATAAATACACACAAATAAAAATATCCCCCATATTTTTTTCCATATTTTCTGGGTTTTTGTCTTCCCGCCCACTTCCCATATTTTCCCACATTTTCCTAAAAATCGGCGAATAATTGTGTCTGTGTGTTTTTTCCCCTCCTGATCTTTTGCTTTATGGGCATTCCAAGACCCGCCTCAGTTTCCCAAGGAGGCCCCCGGAGCGGTGCAGAAGTTCCCAGAGGGCCTCGCGACGGTCCCAGGAGGCTCCCAGGCTGCCCCAGGCACTTTGCAGCAACATGCCGCGGGCTGGTGAATCCGCCAGAGTGTCCACATAGGACATCCAAGAAGGCCACAACAAGTCAAAGACCAGAGGCATTCCACCCCCCGTGTGGTCTTCTCGTCTGGAATTTATATGCGTCGCGAACGCGTGGCTCTAGGATGCCCCTGGAGGCCCACATTGACCGCAACGGAAGCCCGAAACCATTGACCAAAAGGATGGCCCAAGACTGCCTTGAACACCACGCCTCAATGCGACTTCAGCGGCCAAGGCGTGCGCTTCCAAGCCAAAGGTTCGTTCATCCAGACACGGCCCGTCTGACGCGCTACATCCTCGGCACCATAGCACGCTCAAGGTGAGTGCTCTGATTCCTGTCGCTGTTGCAGTTCTAGATTACACGATGGTCGCGGCCGTCGGGCTTGGTTTTGGACGTAGTAGGTTGGATTCGCCTCTTGCCCACGATGTTTTCTCCCCGCCGCCCGCGAGCACGCCGCCGTCGTCGTCGTCGTCCGCTGTCGGGGGGTCGTCGTCTTCGTCGGTGGATCGGTCGGTCGGTCGTCCTCCATCCTTCTGGTCCTCCTCGTCCTCCATCCCCCCGCTCCTGCTCCTCCTCCTCTTCCTCCTCCTCCTCCTCCTTTTCCTGCTCCTCCTCCTCTTCCTCCTCCTCCTCCTCCTCCTCCTGCTCCTCCTCCCACCCCCCCTCGTCCCCCCCTGGCTTCTTCCCCAAACCCTGGCGCCATTGCAACATACCGCCCTCTCATGGAGAACCCCAGTCCAGCCGAACACCAGGCACTCGAGGAACCCTACGAAACACACTCCAGCCGCAGAAATCCCACCCAGCAAGCTTCTCATGTAGCTACCCCAACACACCTCTCCGTTTCCGTTTCCACTACTCGACCTTTTCGTTTCCAGTGCTCGGCCTTTCCGTTTCCAGGGTTGGGAACAGCCTTTCCAGGTATGGGGACGGCTTTTCTAGGGTTGGCGGGAGTTCAAGTATGCAGAATCGAGACCTGATTTTTCGGGTTGGGAGTTGAATCCTGGCGTCGGCGCTGGTGCAGGCGCTGGCGTTGGTGCTGGGGTAGGTGTGGGCGTTGATCCCGGCGTAGCCGCAGGCGTTGGTGCTGGCGCCGGTGCTGTCGTCGGTGCTGGGGTAGGTGCCGGCGGTGGGACTGGCGTCGGTGCTGGCGTCGCTGCTGGTGTAGACGATTGTTGGTGTCGGCGTAGTCGCCAGCGATTGTGACGGCGTTGGTGCTGGAGTCGGTGCTGGTGTAGTCGCTGGCGTTGGTACTGGCGTAGGCGCAGGCTTTGATTGGGGCTGGAGTTGGTACTGGCGTCGGTGCTGGCGTCGGCGCTGGTGCAGGCGCTGGCGTTGGTGCTGGTGAAGGTGTGGGCGCTGATGCCGACATGGGTGCTGGCGGTGGTGCTGGCGTCGGTGCTGGCGTCGGCGCTGGTGTAGGCGCTGGCGGTTGTGCCGGCGTAGCCGCAGGCGTTGGTGCTGGTGTCGGTGCTGTCGTCGGAGCTGGCGTAGGTGCCGGCGGTGGGACTGGCGTCGGTGCTGGCGTCGCTGCTGGTGTAGGCGATTGCGTTGATGCCGACGTAGGCGCTGGCGATGGTGCTGGCGTCGGCGCTGGTGTAGTCGCTGGCGCTTGTGCTGGCGTAGCCGCAGGCGTTGGTGTTGGCGTCGATGTTGTCGTCGGCGCTGGCGCTGGTGCCAGCGTTGGGGCTGGCGTTGGTGCTGGGGTCGGTGCTGGCATCGGTGCAGGCGCTGGCGTTGGTGCTGGTGAAGGTGTGGGCGTTGATGCCGACGTAGGCGCTGGCGGTGGTGCTGGCGTCGGTGCTGGCGTCGGCGCTGGTGTAGGCGCTGGCGCTTGTGCTGGCGTAGCCTCACGCGTTGGTGCTGGCGCCGGTGCTGTCGTCGGCTCTGGCGCTGGAGCCAACGTTGGGGCTGGCATCGATGCTGGCGTCGGTGCTGGCGTGAGCGCTGGTGCAGGCGCTGGCGATGGTGCCGGCTTAGGCGTCGGCGCTGATACTGGCGTCGATGCTGGCGTCGGCGCTGTCGCAGGCGCCAGCGTTGGTGCTGTCTGGTGACCCTGTGGTCCCGACCTCACGCCGAATTGAGCGTAACTCTTATTGCTGTGCCGCTGGAGCTCGCCGTGATGCCCATCGTTGTGCAGCCTGTGATCCCAATCTGCGGGACACCAACCTCTGTGCCGCGAGGCAGCAGAGGGGCCAGTACACCCAAGCAGCGAATGGGCAGGCCCGGATACCGTACACCCAAAATCGAGGGTGGGGCGGCACGCCCGAAACATCATTGTGCACGTCTCCCTGGAAATCACACGCGGTTGCATCCTCAAGCATTTTAGCTGGAGTCGGAGCCAGAGTCGGAGCAGGAGGAGGAGGAGAGGAGGAGGAGGCGGAGGAGGAGGAAGAGGAGGAGGAGGAGGAGGAGGAGGAGGAGCAGGAGGAGGAGGAGGAGGAGGAGGAGGATGAGGAGGAGAGGAGGAGGAGGAGGAGGAGGAGGAGGAGGAGGAGAGGAGGAGGAGGAGGAGGAGGAGGAGGGAGGAGGGGAGGAGGAGGAGGATGGAGGAGGAGGAGGAGGATGATGAGGAGGAGGAGGAGGAGAAGGAGGAGGAGGAGGAGGAGGAGGAGAAGGAGGAGAAGGAGAAGGAGGAGGAGGCTGATGATGGTTATGATGTCGTGTTTCCCTTGGCGGCAACGACGACCTCATCCTCGAAGGCCGAGGAGGCTACTGCTGCTGGTGAGAAGGCCAAGGCACATGAGGTGGAGAGAAGGGGAGAAGGAGGAGGACGAGAAGGAGGAGGACGAGGGGGAGGATGAGAAGGAGAGGAGGCGGAGGAGGATGAGGTTGACTAGAAGGCCGATGAGGATGTCAGAAGGATGATCAGCAAAAACCTGATGACGACGATGATTCTGATGATCATGGTGATGAGTAAGAAGGCGCTGATAAGGATGCTCCGCGAGGGCGGCTCAAAGGTCACAATTGCCATGCGGCAGGACCCGCCCGAGCTTCACACCTTGAATGCCTTGCCGTAGTCCTCGGTCTTGCCCGCATCCCCAAGAGAGCCCTCCTCCCTCCTGCTCCTCCGTCAACCCCTTCCCCTTGCTCCCCCCTCCTCAATCCTACACCTCCCCCTTCTCCTTTCCTTCCCCTTTCCTTCCCCTTTCCCTCCCCCTCCCCCTTCCCCTCCTCCCCTACCCCTTCCCTTTCCGTCTCCCCCTCTCCTCCTCCCTCCTCCTCCTCCTCCTCCTCCTCCTCCTCTCCTCCTCCTCCTCCTCCTCCTCCTCCTCCTCCTACCTCCTCCTCCTCCTCTCCTCTCCTCCTCCTCCTCCTCCTCCTCCTCCTCCTCCTCCTCCTCCTCTTCCTTCTCGTCCTCCTCCTCATCCTCCTCCTTCCTCCTCCTCAGTCCTCCTCCCCCTCCTCCTCCTCCTCCTCCTCTTTTCCTCATCCTCATCCCCGCGCGCACGCGTTCACGCCCATGCGGGAGCGCGCGGGGGAGAGAGGACGAGGAGGAAAATGAGGTCGGTCGGACGCGGCAGTGCAGCAACGCGTTTGCCGATGAGATGTCGGTGGCTCTGGCTCCCAAGGGCCTGGCGGCCCCTAGTCCTGAAGGGCGGCACAAGCTGCGAACCCGCGGCGGCCCATTGCGAGCAAGCTCGGCCTGGCCGAGTTCAGCCTGGTCGAGTTCAGCCTGGCAGAGTTCAGCCTGGCCGAGGTCAGTTGCTGCCGAAGAGGGCGACCAAGATCGATCCCCAAACGGCCCCCCTCCGACTGCATCGGAGCCCCTGCCCGCTGGCGGACCTCTCCCGCGCAGGCGCGGCGCGAAGCGAAGGGCTCCGCGCTGGCCGCCGCCGCAGTCGCCGCGCCGGCGGCGGCAGGGCGAGACGGGCGCCAGCCACAAGATGCGGGGACCAAGCACCGGCCTCGTGCGAAGCTGCCCTGACGAATAAATGCGGGCCGCGGTGATGTGCAAACCAAGCAGCTGCAGCAATCTCGAGCACCTTCTCCGTCAAGCGATGGTTCGATTGCAATAGTATGGTTAAGCGCATTCTCTGTTTGTTCGTGGCTCCTCAGCGTCTCTTGTCGCAGAAGAAGGTCTCGCAACCAATGGCCCCTATGGCAGAAACCTGAACGGCGAAGATGGGGAGGAACTACGTGTCGGGAGGAATGGGATGAGGAGGAACAGAGAGAGAGAGAGAGAGAAGATAAGGATGAGGATGAGCTCGAGACTGACTCCCTCAGAGGTGCCGTGGAGTTGACCGTGGCAGCCAAGCGTCGCCGATCAGCTTGAATTGTGATGTGTTCCAAAGTCAGGGCCCCGCTTTCTCAACTAGGTGATATCCCCCAGGTAAAAGGGGAACTGTTTGATCATGTATTCGCCCAGACGACAGAGCCACACTGCTGTGCTTTTTCTGAACGGGAGGTGCTCGACCGCTCGACCCCTATTTATTCTGGCCAACACCGCGGGGCTCGAGCGGCTCAATGGGGCGCCAGATGAGACGCTCACCACGCTCGAGGCGTTGAACCTCAGCCAGCTCCTAGAGGAGCAGCTGGGCTTCGAGAGGCGCAGGAGAAGCCCGACCCCGACGCAGGCCCAACACGAGGCCGCAGGAGCCCAGGACCGCCGAGGAGCCACGCCTGGCCCGCCCGCAGGAGGCGCCCGAGGGGGCGCCGGGCGCTCTCGACGAGCACATCCGCGAAGCCCTCGTGCAGCGCTGCGCGAGGGACCGTCGGGCCGCGGGCCCGCACCGCCACGGCCGCCTCGCCGCGGGCCCTGGGCGGGCAGACGGGCCGCGGCCCCCGCGCGGGGGCGCCGCCGAGCAGAAGCTCGCGGCCGCCGCCGGCGACGGCGGCACGCGGGCACGGCGACGCGCAGCCCGGCGGCGGCGGCGCGCAGCTCGGCGGCGGCGGCGGCGCGCAGCTCGGCGGCGCGCGGCGCGCAGCTCGGCGGCGGCGGCGCGCGACGTGCAGCTCGGCGGCGACGCGACGCGCAGCTCGGGTGGCGCGGGAGGGCTGGCCTCCTAGGAAGGCGGGGGGGTCGCCTGGAAGGCACGGGGGGCCCTCGCAGCAGGGCCCGGAGGTTTGCAGATGCGGCTTCGGGCTTCTAAAAGCTTCCGCGCCCTCTTGGAAGCTCGCTCCCCCGCCTTCTCAGGCCGCCCGCTTCGCGCCCCCCTCCCCCCACCCCCCACCCAGCGCGCGCCGCCGATCGGCTTCGTGGACCTGGCCGTCGGCGCCCCCGAGGCCCCGCGACCGACTCGCCCAACCCCCGAACCCGCGCGCGCGGGCGGGGGGCGCAGGGCGGGGCGCGTCTGCTTGAGCTGAAATGTGTGGCCCGTCGCCGTCGTCGTCGTCGTCGTCGTCGTCGTCGTCGTCGTCGTCGTCGTCGTCGTCGTCGTCGTCGTCGTCGGTCGCCGCCGCCGTCGTCGTCGTCGTCGTCGTCGTCGTCGTCGTCGTCGTCGTCGTCGTCGTTGTCGTCGTCGGAAGCCAGCTGGGGCGGCCCCCTGGCCCGTTGGGCCCGCCCGCTTCACTGGCACAGCCCCGAGCGGGGCGGCGCCCCAAACGGCCGCTCCGGAGCCCTGCCTCCGCTGATGCGCTGTACCGATCCGCAGCGACAACAGGCTTGTCGCGGTCAAAGCTGCGGCGGCTTGCGCGGTACCGAACTGCGCCCGTACCGGTGGAGGAACAATGCACAGGAAAAGGAGAAGGAAGAGGGAGGAGAGAGAGGGGAAGGCCGGCGGGGAAGAGCAACGAGCCGTTGACATTTTTGGATACAGTCGGGGCGTTGACCCAAGGAACCCTAAATAAGGAACGGGGCCCCTGTCTCCCATAAGTTGAGCTTCGATGTCCCACGGAGAACCTCAGGAAGACAGAGGGCAAACCGTCGAACAATCCAGGAGCACCGAGCCCCTCCCCAACGAAAAGGGCTCCTTCTTCAGGGCCCTGGCTGTACAGGGTCCCCTGGATTTCGTGGCCGTGGCCCTCCCCCGCACGCTCGCCGCGGCTCGTCCGTGGAGCCCCGAAGGCGAGGTACAAGACGGAACGAGGAGAGGAGGCCGTCGTCGTCTTCGTCGTCTTCGTCGTCGCCTTCTTCATTTGATTCTTCATCACCTTCCTCTTCTTTAGCTTTTCTCCTAGTGTCTGTTCTCATCATCATTATCATTAGCATCATTATTGTTCGCATTCGCATTCGCATTCGCATTCGTAGTATGATTTGATGTTGTTGTTGCTGTTCTTATGATTATGATTATGATTATTATTATTAGTATGTTTATCATTCATATTTACTATTAGTGATATGATTCATCTTATTATTATTCTTCCTATTATTCTTATTCTTATTCTTTTTATTATCATTATTATCATTATCATTATTATTATTGTTATTATTAGTATTATCAGCGTCATTGTAATTATACGTATAAGTCTAATCATCATAATCATCATTAGCGTTACCATTATTACTATTATTATTATTATTATTCGTCGTAATCGTACTCGTCGTCGCCGTCCTCCCCCTCCGCAGGTCCTCGGTCTTGTTCATCCCCGGGAACAGCTTCGGCCACCACGTTTTCATGGTGTCCCCATTGCCGTGCACGAAACACTGGACCACACCGCCCGCGACCCGGTTGTGCACCTTGCCCTCGCTCCTGTAGAGGACCTCGCGCTGGGGGTCCTGCTCCTCCCTCTCCCCCATCCATGCTCCTTTCCTCTAATCTCCTCTCTTTTCTTTCCATCTCCTCCATCTGCTCCGCATTCCTTCTTTCCCCCCTTCTGCTCGTTCTCTCGGGGAGGACGGGAAAGTGGAGAAGGGGAGATAGAGAGGGAGGGATATGTATATTATATGTACACACGCGCATGCATCTCCGCACTTTGGCCACCTGCCGCCAAGGTTCGTTCTCATGCTGTGTTGCGGGCCCCGGCTGCTGGCGGAACGATGGCTCCAATCGGGCGTTGGCAGAACTGGGTTTAGTGGAACCTGGTTCAGTGATGTGTACCGGAGGGCGCCCCCCCCGCCTCGTTCCGCTAACCGGAACTGCCGTCACCCGAAAAACACCAGTTACGGCAAACCTGGTTTAATGAATCTGGCCAATTCAGGGGCCTCAGGGCCCTACCACTAACCGTGTCCCCTTACCCGGGGTCCTGGCTATACCCGATCCAAGCTGGTGGGCAGGGAGGAGGAGGAGGAGGAGGAGGAGGAGGAGGAGGAGGAGGAGGAGGAGGAGGAGGACGGCTGCCTACTCCCAGATACACGTGCGCCGTGGGAGGCCCAAGCTCGGTCTGCGGGGCTGCCTCCGACGGCCGGCGTGGGCACGGCTCGGTCGGCACCGCCGCGGCTCCGCCTGTTGATCCGATCCTCACGCTGTCGAGCGTCAGCGGATATGGAGTATCTATCGGCCATGCGGCAGGGACGCATGCCGCGCGAGACAAACAGAGGGCATCGAGCTGTACGGTCGGGGCCTTGACCAAAGGAACCCTAAATCAGGAGCGGGGCCCCCATTTCCCATAAGTTGAACTTCGATTTCCGATCGAAAACAGAAGGGAAGCCCGAGGCAAGCTGTGAAACACTGAAGGAACGCGGAGCCCCTCCCCAACCAAAAGGGTTCCTTCTTCACGGCCCCGACTGTATCTATTGGCCATGCGGCAGGGACGCATGCCGCGCGAGACAAACAGAGGGCATCGAGCTATAGTCCATGTGCATGCGGCTCGTGAGCGAGAGCTTCGGCCACGTTCGGAGCACAAGCCTTCTTGAGTGGTCACAGGCGCGGCAACCCAATCGGCGGCGTCGTGGAGCCAGCCACGCAGGCATGCTGCAGCTGTGTGTAGCCCCTGCCCGAGATCCAGTGAGAGAGATCACCCCGTGGCTTCAGCGATGGCCTCTTGCAAATAGATGCGGCTTGTCGAGACGTGGGTCCACCTGCCTCCACTGGGCGTGGTCTCAGTGGATTCGTGCCCTGCAATCATACACGCATCTGCCGCGCCGCAAGCTATACACAGCTATCGGAGGTGAGGGGGTGAGATCCAAGTGGAACGGAGAGCCCCCCTACCGGGAAATCGATTTCGGTTTCGTGTTCGTGCGTGCCGTGCGTGCGGGCGAGGCGAAGCTGCGTGGGCGGGCGGGAAGAAAGTCTCCTGTGGCTGAGGCGCGGCTGGACCAAATGTCTCCCTTCCGGGCGGCCGGTGGCCCGCGGTGTCCCGCCGGTGTCCCGCTGGTGTCCCGTGTGGCTGAGGCGCGGCCGGACCAAATGTCTCCCTTCCGGGCGGCCGGTGGCCCGCGGTGTCCCGCCGGTGTCCCGCGTGTCCCGCGGTGTCCCGCGGTGCCCCCCGGTGTCCCGCTGGTGTCCCGCGGTGTCCCGCGATGATGATGATGATGATGATGATGATGATGATGATGATGATGATGATGATGATGATGATGATGATGATGATGATGATGATGATGATGATGATGATGATGATGATGATGATGAGGATGATGATGTTGATGATGAGATGATGATGATGATGATGATGATGATGATGGTGATGATGCTGCTGCTGATGATGCTGATGCTGATGTTGATGCTGCTGCTGATGATGATGGTGATGCTGATGATGATGCTGATGATGATGAGGACGATGATGATGATGATGATGATGATGATGATGATGATGATGATGATGATGATGATGATGATGATGATGATGATGATCGAGTGAGATCGAGTGTGAGATAGATCGAGTGAGATCGAGTGAGATCGATTGTGAGATCGATCGAGGGAGATCGATCGAGCGAGACCGATACTGAGATCGATAGTGAGACCGATAGTGAGACCGATCGAGTGAGACGTTGGTTCCTCCCCCCCGAACCTCCTTATCACCCGAAGGGTGGTCGTATAGTATTCCGATCTGCCAGGCCAAAGCTGGAGAGAAATTGCTTGAACTTTGCGGAATTCGCCAGGCGTCTCAGGCAACAGCGCCGCCTCTGGATGGCGTCCGTGTGAGATTTTCTGCAGCGCCCGTACAACAGTAGGTGAGCGGACTGACACTAACTCTTGGGCTCCCTTCCGAACGCCGCTTTTGGTCTCAGGGAGCAACACCGCGGCTCCTGCGGAGCTCGGGCGTGTGATGCAAAGAGCCGGCCAGAGCGTAGGAACCAGTGCAAACCAACTAGCGTGAGGGCAGCTACCTCTGGCCAGTTGGCCAGTTGGCCAGCAGAAAGCCCCCAGAGATGGCCATTGTAACACTGCCCAGTATGGGCGCTGAGCGACGCACAGGCTCCGCCCGCGCCCGCGTGCGCAGCAACCTCCAGGGCCACCTGAAGGTGCCCAGCAGTGCCCCGCAGTGCTGGCCAGACAACCTGCGCTCCCGCCGAGAGGTCCTGCATGCCACTCGTCGGGCCCCTTCCTTTGTGCGCCTCCTCCGCGAAAGCGCCGAGGAGCGCGGTGGCCGAGCGCAGCGTGAGGGAAGCCTCGCGCACTCAGACCCACGCCAACGACCGGCGAACGGCCTTGGCGTGGCGCAGGCGCGCGGCGGGGCGCACGATCAAGTCCCCGAGCGGCTCCAGGCGCTTGGCCCTCCGGGCTTCCCCGTTGAGAAGTACGCGTGCTGCAGGTCCATCTCGAGGGGTCGTCGGAGGGGTTGTCCTCCGACGTGCAGAAGCCGACAATCAGGTACAGGTGGGAGGCCAGCGCGCAAGCGTTGATTTTGCGGATGACTCGCTTGAGTCTCTGGCTGCTCGTCCTTCCCTGTGTGACCGCCGCCGCGACCACCTGGGAGTCGACGAAGTGCAAGAACTGGCTTCTGCAGAATCCGCTCCGCCTGGCGCGCCAGTTGATGCTGTGGAGGACAGCCCACGCCTCCAGGACGTTGATGTGTTCCCCTGGCCGATTCCACGGGTACCCGTGGAGGGTCTTCCATGCCCGCCACCTTGTGGGGATGCGGGCCCTAGGCTAGCCATTCTTCCGATATGGTAGGCCTGCATCGAGACGCACGTCCTGCCGTCCACGCTCGGCAACCCGCAAATACGCCTTGACCACCTGCGTGCACTTCGCCAGGTCGTCGTCGGCATCCTGTCCGAAGGTCTCGGCCTCGAGCCACAGCTCGAGGTTCACGCTGCGGCTGCACGCAACCTCTCGTCGTCGGCCCGACTGCAAGCCAACCGCGCCGCCAACGAGGTGCCCCAGCAGCAGCAGCAGCTTGGCTGCCGGCTGGGTGGCGAAGTCATTGCCGATGGGCGATGCTCGTGTTGGCCACGCTCGCGCCGGTTCCTCCTGGGCCGAAACGGCTGCGGCCGTGTACCCATCATCGTAGCCCATGAGCCGCTCGCGCTCGGAGATGGAAGGAGGGCGAGGCGGAGCTAGACAATCCACGTGGGAAATTCGCTGGCCAAACGGGCCAGAGGCGTGCTAAGATCTCCGGTAACTGGTTAATCATGTTTCTAATTCGCGCGCGCGGGGTGGCCCCTGCAGGGGGGTCCCCGGACGAAAAGTACCCCAGCAAGGTCCCGGGCGGTCCGACTCAGAGATGGTTTTCCTCCTGGGCGCCGCCCTCGAGGCTCTCCAGAGAGCCCCAAGAAGGGCCGCGAGGCCGACAAGAGCCCCCCAAGATGGTTCAAGAGTGCTCCGAGATGCCACACGCTCGCTTCAAGACGCCCAAGATGGCTCCCAGACGCCCCAACAGGCCCCCAAGAGGCGTCCCAAGAGGGCCCCAAGAGGCAAAAATCGTCCCATTCCTTAAAGCAAAACGTATATTCTTAGCATATTCGCCATTTGAGCTTTCACAACGTCAAGAGCGGCCCAAGAGGCCCCCAAGATCGCCCCAAGACGGCCCAAGAGGCCCCCTAAGAGGTAAGAGGGCCCCCAAACCGCCCCAGAGGGTCCCAAGACGACCCATGAGGCATCCAAGACAGCCCAAGAGGCCCCCAAGGCGGCTCCAAGAGGGGGTCCAAATGGGAGACCCGCACGGATGTTTCGAGCCCTCGGCCCCGAGAGGCCCCCAGGAGCGCCCAAGAGGCCTTCGAAAGGCTCCCAAGAGGCCCCAAGAGGCCCCCAAGAGGCCCTAAGATTCCCCCACGAGGCCCTCAGGAGGCCCCCCAGAGGCCCCCAACCGGCCCCAGGAGGTCCCTCAAATGCCCCCCCAAGCACGCAAGCAAGTGCCAGCGATGCTACAATATGGGCCGGCGGAATGAGCGAACCGGTTTGAAGAAGGTTAGCATCCTCAGAGGCGGTAAGGGAGAGAGGGAGACATACACACACACATATATATTTATATATATATACAGAGAGAGAGGGAGACAGAGAAAGAGAGAGAGAGAGAGAGAGCGAGAGATAGATATATGGAAACAGAGAGAGAGATAACGATTTGCATAGAGATCGATACACACATGTTTGTATACATGTCTCATGTATGTGTGTATGCATGCAAGCATGCATGCATGCATGCATGTATGAATGTATGCATGTATGCATATATGCATGCATGCATGCATGCATATATGTATGTATGCATGCATGCATGTATACATAGATAGCATGTGTGAATGTGTGTACGTATGTATGTATGCATGTATGCATGTATGCATGTATGTATGCATGTATGCATGCATGCATGTATGTGTGTATGTATGTATGTATGTATGTATGTATGTATGTATGTATGCATGTGTGTGTATGTATCTGTGTGTATGCATGCATGAATGCATGCATGCATGTATGTATGTATGTATGTATGCATGCATGTCTGTGTGTATACATGTATATATGCATGTGTGTACGCATGCATGTATGCATGCATGTATGTATGCATGCATGCATGTATGTATGTATGTATGTCTGTATGTCTGTATGTATGTATGTATGTATGTATGCATCTTTGTATAGATGTTTGCATATATATATATATATATATATATATATATGTATGTATGTATGTATGTATGTATGTATGTATGTATGTATGTATGTATGTATGTATATATGCATGCATACATACATGCATGCATGTACGTATGCATGTATGTATGCATATATGTAGGTAGGTAGACATATAGGTCGGTATGTATGCATGCATGCATATGTATATGTATGTATGCATGCATGCATGTATGTATGTTTGTATGTATGCATGTATGTATGTATGTATGTAGGTGCGTGCATGTATGTATGCCTGTCTGTCTGTCTGTCTGTATGTCTGTCTGTCTGTATGTATATACATACACTTAGAAAGGGAGGGGGATACCTAGAGAGAGCAAGAGAGAGAGAGAGAGAGAGAGAGAGAGAGAGCGAGAAAGGGGTTACATAACGAGACAGCGAGGGATACATACACACATATTTTTCACACACATATATATATATATACATATTTGTATATGCAGATCTACGTATAAATGTATATATATACATATATATACAGAGAGATGGAGAGAGGGAGAGAGAGAGAGTGAGAGAGAGAGAGAGAAAACGAGAGAGAGAGAGAGGGAGACAAAGAGAGAGAGAGAGAGAGAGACACAAGTGAACTCGAGAGAGAGAGAGAGAGAGAGAGACAGAGAGCGACGGAGCGAGAACGTGAGAGAGGGTGGGGGAGGCGCAGGAGGAATGATGGGGGAGACAGAGGGGGGGGGAGGAGGGGGAGCAAGAAGAGGACGGAAGGGGAGGGAGACATGGGAAATAAAGGGGAACGGAAAGAGGAGAAATGTTCGGGTGAGGGGGAGGGAAACATAGGGCGAAAAGGAGGAGGGAGAGAGAACGAGGGGGAGGGGGAGGAAAGAGGAACATTGCTCTTCTCGGGCTCCCGTTTCCACTCCTGTCTCATGTTTATCATGCCCCCCTCGTTCCACTTCCCATCCTTTTCCCCTTCTGTTGCATCCATATTCTGACGTCCCTCGCATTTCCTCTCCCCCGACCTTCACCGTCCTTAGCCCTCCCTCCTCTCGTTCGAAAAACTGGTTCCCTGTTAAGACTGCAACCCATTATCTAACCGTCGCGCTATTTGCTTCGCCTCCTCAAAACATACCGCCAAACATGGGTAACACTTCTCCGATTCCGTGACGCCGTTCTCTACCGCAGCCAAATGCGACACTCCGTGGTGACGGTGAATATCCTGGATGTGCTCTTCCTGCGGATGGTTGGCGTGTCTTCGACGTGTTCCTTCCCCCTCTTCGCCTTGCACTTCCCATCCCCACTTCCTCCCTCTCCCTCCGATCCTGGGAAAAAGATGGGGAAGGAGGCGTGATGGCGGAATGGGGTGAAGAAGTGTGTGTGTGTATGCTTTTTTCCCAACCATCCTGTGTTGGGTCCTCGTTTGGAAAAGACAGCGCGTCGCGTTCTCCTCCTCCTCTCCTCCTCCTCCCCTCCTCCCTCATCCCATGCGTGCCTCTGCCTCCGCATGTCCACTTCGGCACTCTGTCCTCCGCATGCCCATTTCGGCACACCCCTCACACGGTTCGTGGCCCAATAGGGAGTTCCACCCAGGGCCCCAGTGGCCGCGTTCACATGCGTCCACCCCGCCCAACGCATGCCCATTTCGGCACACCCCTCACGCGGTTCGTGGTCCCATAGGGAGCTCCACCCAAGGCCCCAGTAGCCGCGTTCACATGCTTCCACCCCGCCCACCGCATGCCCATTTCGGCACACCCCTCACACGGTCCGTGGCCCCATAGGGAGCTCCACTCAAGGCCCCAATGGCCGCGTTCACATGCGTCCACCCCACCCACGGCGTGTCCATGTCGGCACACCCCTCACACGGTCCGTGGCCCCATGGGGAGCTCCACCCAAGGCCCCAGTGGCCTCGTTCACATGCGTCCACCCCGCCCAACGCATGCCCATTTCGGGACACCCCTCACATGGTTTGTGGCCACCCGTAAGGAGCTCCACCCAAGTCCCCAGTGGCCGCGTTCACATGCGTCCACCCCGCCCACCGCATGCCCATTTCGGCACACCTCTCACACGGTTCGTGGCCCCATAGGCAGCTCCACCCAAGGCCCCAGTGGCCACGTTCACATGCGTCCACCCCGCCCGCCGCATGCCCATTTCGGCACGCCCCTCACACGGTTCGTGGCCCCATAGGGAGCTCCACTGAAAGCTCCAGTGGCTGCGTTCGCATGCGTCCGCCCCGCTCACCGCATGCCGATTTCGGCACACCCCTCACACGGTCCGTGGCCCCATAGCACCGTCACCCCTCACACGGTTCGTGGCCCCATAGGGAGCTCCACCCAAGGCCCCAGTGGCCGCGTTCACATGCGTCCACCCCGCCCACCGCATGCCCATTTCGGCACACTCTCACACGATTCGTGGCCCCATAGGCAGCTCCACCGAAGGCCCCAGTGGCCGCGTTCACATGCGTCCACCCCGCCCACGGCATGTCCATGTCGGCACACCCCTCACACGGTCCGTGGCCCCCCGTAGGGAGCTCCACCCAAGGCCCCAATGGCCGCGTTCACATGCGTCCACCCCGCCCACCGCATGCCAATTTCGGCGCACCCCTCACACGGTTCGTGGCTCCATAGGGAGCATGGCGCCCAAGGCCCCAGTGGCAGGATTTGCATGCGTCCACCCCGCCCACCGCATGCCCATTTCGGCACACCCCTCACACGGTTCGTGGCCCCATAGGGAGCATGGCACCCAGGGCCCTAATGGCAAGGTTGGCGGCGCACGCACTTCTTCCGCAAAAGGCGTCTTACTACGGTCACCCGCCGCCACTACGGCCTGCTTGGGCCGCACCACTCCGGCGTTGCTGCGCAGCTGGGCCTTCCTCCGCCTCCTTCTCCTCCTCCTCCTCCTTCTCCTTCTCGTCCTTCTCCTCCTCCAACCCCTCTCCGCAGTCATTCAATATGAATACTACTCTCAGATTTCCCATGACGCTCGGGTGTCGGCAAAAACATGCCTGTGGTGTTGGATCCTCGTTTGAAGAGCCCAGAACGCGGTATCCCCAACTGCTTATGGTTGAACCCGTCGTCCGGATGTTTTTTCCACTTCCTCCTCCTCTCCCTGCTGGTCTGCAGTCTATATATACATAGTAAGGATGCGCGGTGAGTAAGCAAGACCCGTGGGCGCCCAAGGCGAATCCTCCGGAGAAGCGCACGGCCGAACAAACAGGGGATGCAAGCGTACCCCGGGGAGGGTGACTCATCCTTGGTATGGATTTTGCCTGTATGCATCCTGCTCCAGGAGAGGAGTGGAGGTGGGAAGAGGGGGGGCGGGAGGGAGATCGGGGACGTCCAAAAGGGGGGGTCGCAAATCATTGCGCGAGGCAGGTGCGCGGCCCAGGGGGTGCCAACTGGCATATTGAAACAAGGCGAGGTTGCCATAACAACCGCGGATATATCGTGGCCCTGGCCATGATATACCCACCCCTAGTCACTATTCCCCCCTTGGCCGCCCCTGAGAGGAGGCGGAGGAGGAGGAGGAGGAGGAGGAGGAGGAGGAGGAGGAGGAGGAGGAGGAGGAGGAGGAGGAGGAGGAGGAGGAGGAGGAGGAGGAAGATAAGATCCTCCCTTCGTCGTCGTCGTCGTCGTCGACCTTCTCCTCTTCCTGTCCTCGCAAGGGGAAAGGGCCTCGTCGTCGAAGAAGATCAGCTGCTGGGACAACGTGCCGGTGTAATCGAGCGCCACGAGGTCGGGGTTAGAGAACATGCAGGCGTGCAGGCCCTTCACGACGACGGTCGGCGTCGTCGTCTTCGTAGGTCGCCGCGCGACCCCTCCTCTTTTTCCCAACCCTCCTGCGTTGGGCTCTCGTTTCGAAGAGAGCACTGTGGTCGCGTCTTCTCCTTCCCTCTCCTTCACTTCCTCCTCTCTCCTGCCTCCTATCCTCTCTCGTGGGCTCCTGGGATGGGGGACCTTGTGGCTTCTTCCTCTCTCCTCCTCCTCCGCCTCCTCCTCCGCCTCCTCTTCCTCCTCCTCCTCCACCTCCTCCTCCTCCTCCTCCTCCTCCTCCCTTCTCTCCTGCGCCCTGCTTGCGCAGTAGCCCCGCTGAGACCTCGCGGCTCCCTGGGGGGGCTGCGAAGCGTGCGGCTGTCGCCACTTTCGTGGGCTCCTGGGAGGTCGCGCGGAGTGGAGTTGCACGGGGATCCAGTTGGGACCTCGCGGCTCCCTGGGGGGCTGTGAAGCGTGCAGCTGTTGCCACTTTCGTGGGCTCCTCGGAGTCGCACGGAGTGGAGTTGCACGGGGATCCAGTTAAGGCCTCGCGGCTCCCTGGCGGGTAGCGTGCATCTGTCTCCACTTTCGTGGACTTCTGGGAGGTCGCACGGAGTGGAGTTAAACGGGGACCTAGTTGAGATCTCGCGGTTCCCTGGGGGGGCTGCGAAGCGTGCAACTGTCTCCACTTTCGTGGGATCCTGGGAGGTCGCGCGGAGTGGAGTTGCGCGGGGATCCAGTTGAGACCTCGCGGCTCCCTGGGGGGCTGCGAAGCGTGCAGCTGTCACCACTTTCGTGGGCTCCTGGGAGGTCGCGCGGAGTGGAGTGAAACTGAATTACACGGGGATCCAGTTGAAGACCTCGAGGCTCCCTGGGGGGCTGCGAAGCGTGCAGCTGTCACCACTTTCGCGGGCTCCTGGGAGGTCGCGCGGAGTGGAGTTAAACTGAATTACACGGGGATCCAGTTGAGACCTCGAGGCTCCCTGGGGGGCTTCGAAGCGTGCAACTGTCGGCACTTTCGTGGGCTCCTCGGAGTCGCACGGAGTGGAGTTGCACGGGGATCCAGTTAAGGCCTCGCGGCTCCCTGGCGGGTAGCGTGCATCTGTCTCCACTTTCGTGGACTTCTGGGAGGTCGCACGGAGTGGAGTTAAACGGGGACCCAGTTGAGACCTCGCGGTTCCCCGGGGGGGCTGCGAAGCGTGCAACTGTCTCCACTTTCGTGGGATCCTGGGAGGTCGCGCGGAGTGGAGTTGCACGGTGATCCAGTTGAGACCTCGCGGCTCCCTGGGGGGCTGCGAAGCGTGCAACTGTCGCCACTTTCGTGGGATGCTGGTATGTCGTGCGGAGTGGGGTTGCACGGGGACCCACTTGCGACCTCCCGATACCTCAGAGCTCATGCGCACTGCGAGTCCTTCAACATGTTTGTTTGTAGTGGGCGGTCCTGCATAGTTTCGCCATATGTTTAGAAAGGGTTGGGGGCGTCGTCGGGTGATGCCTCGTCGTCGTAGTCGTCGCCGTCGTCCTCCTCCTCCTCCTCCTCATTCACTTCTGCTGCAAGTCTTCTTCTTCTTCTTCTTCCTCCTCCTCCTCCTCCTCTCATTCCCCTCGTCCTCTTCCTCGTTCTGCGTCCTTCTTGTCGTCGTCGTTGTCGTCGTCGTTGTCCTCCTCCTCCTCCTCCTCCTCCTCCTGGTTCCTCCTCCACCCTCCTCCTGGGGGCGAGGGGCGCTTTGTCTCGAGAGGAACATTGCGTCAGCGTGCCTCAGTGGTCAGCACTGGTGCTAGGTGAAGGACAGCTGATCCCTGGGAAAGGGAAGAATACTTCAATCGATTGCGCTTGGGTGTTGCCAATGGCAGTAGTAGGCAGGCGCAAAGGAAGGGCGACTTGTCCAAAGGGGACGCTGCGTTGGCGACGCGTGCGCGCCGCCTGCACGACACTTGGGATGGATCTGGAACTCATAGCTGGGTGTACTGGTTTCTTATAGTTGAAGCCGAGAGAGAAGAGGGGGAGGGCAAGGGGGATATGGGGGAGGAGGACGGGGGGCAATAAGAAAAAAGGGTGAGAGGAAGTGGGACGAGAAGGGAGAGGATGAGGAGGAGGATGATTACGAATGGGGGAGAATGGCTGCAAGGAAGGGACGGCAGCGAGTGAGAGGGAGGGGAAGGATAACCAAACGGAGGGGACGAGTAGATGGTCGGCATGGAAGATCTCTCTCAGGGGGACCTCGTGGTAGGATGCTGCCTCTCACGAAGGCCTGGCGCAGAAAGGCAGTGGACGGAAGCCCGATGCCTGCTGGTCGTCGTAACCGGTCTTGCCGAAGTCCCCCCACCCGTTCTTCAGCATGCATCTCGGCAGGGGGGGGGGGTGCAGGGTGGAAAAGGCAGAGGAGGAATAGGAGGAGGATGACGGAGGAGTGATGAAGATACTGATTCTCCCCCTCCGCCCTGGCGGGCGGTCTCCGCGCGCGCGTGCCGACGCGGTCGCGCGCAGCGGCGGGGCAGACCCACCGCCGTGCGCGAGAGCGCCGACGCGCCGCGCTCAGGAGAGCGTCTCCTGGCCGCCCAAGGGGCGGTGCAGCCGTGCAGGCAGGGGGGAACAAAACGCCTCAGTTCCCCCAGGCGCAGAAGGCAGCCGCGCAGCGCGTGCGCGGGGCCGCCGTTGCCGACGGTCTCTGATATTGAGCCTAGGAGTCTTGCGACCCCGAGGGCTGGTCACTTTGTTGGCTTAGTAGGATGGTGGCCTCGTTTGGTTGTGTCTCGTCGTTCCAGATTGTGCTGGCAGGTCGCCCCGCATGAGTGTCACGATGAAAGATATTAGTGCGGTGGCCGTGATTAAACGCACAACCAATGTTGCCAGGGGTTCGCTCAGCAATGTAGGCGTAAGCCCTCATGCGCTCCAGTAGGGAGTCAAGTTGTTGCTGAGCCCTTGGCATTTGGTGGTTCGGTGGTTGCAGTAGCTGTTGTGCACGCGAAGCGCCAACACCTAGGGCCCTGAACAGTATGACTGTCAGGATTTGGAAATTTGAGACGTTGAATCCCGCAGTGTCAGCTTCAAAGCGTGCAATCTCGAAACGCGCCAGCGTCTGGTCGATCCGTTCTCCCGTATGGACACGGAATGTCGATGAGAGCCGTCCCCGAATTCAGCTGTCTTTCATCTTCAAGATTCTCGAACTTAGTGCTGAGGAGGAATATTATATAGGTGGCCCCATCAGTGTGGCGTCCACCAATGTTCACTCCAAAGTTGACTACTGCTGGGGGGACTCTCATGGCAATGGTCCTTGCGAGACCTCCAAGGCCACGCTGTAGAGCAACGGCCTGTTAGGAGGGAGTCATGGTGCCAGTGGTCACGTTGATCCAAGCAGTGTCTCGCAAACGAATTCGCGGAAAAGGTACGTTACCGGCAGGGTCCCAGTGGGGGCCGGTCGTGCGCGTGTCGTTTGCACCGCGTTGCATGTGTCCGACAGCACATCCGATGGCGACCCAGAGGAGGCCAAATATAGTGATGCCAATACAATGGTCTCGTAGGTCATTGTCGGTTGTAGGTGGCTGTTGTTTGTGAGGTGACGTTACTGTCAGTTTGCGAGGAGGTGGAGGCGGCACGATGTCATAACGCATGTTGCCTTGCATAGTACCTTCGAAGAAATTGCCACTTGGCGTTGGTGGGTGGACTATAGGAATGTGTAGCGCAGAGATGTAGGGCTCAGGTAGGAGACCTCTGCGTGAGCAGGGGCTTTAGTGCAACTGTCCTTGCGATGGCCATGGTCTCCTCCGCGTAGAGCCACTGCGCCCTGATGGTCCACCATATCAGTATTCCACCATATCGCGCCGTGGGTAGCAAGGAGTAGAGCTAGAGCTGGCCACCAACGGCCAGTTCCGCTACCAAGTTTAAAGTGAGGTGGTCTGCCCAACCAAATACTACGCCTTAGGCGTAGCATCCGTCCAACCCTGTTGTATCGTACTAGCGATAGAGCAAGAGGTAGGATATGGCCGCGTGAGCGGCAAGGGGACATTTCAAGGGATTGTTTTCCGTATCGATGTCAGATAGTGCGCCGCAGAGCGGCACGGTCAAATAGGCGGCCGGTCGCTTGAGCCCAAGCGGCCGCGGACAAATGCTCGATACCTCTCGCCTTTGCCCTTCCTCCTTCATGGTCCCTCTTCCCTTTCGGGGAAGGGTTTACCCCTCCCCCTGTCCCCCTCCTCCTGGACCTAGGCGGGGTGCCCC